TCTGGATGTTTTGGAAAAAGAACTATTTTTATTTCATTCAGACCTGGGTGGTAAAATCTCAACAGATTTCCATTGTCCCACTAAACTCTAACCACGACTACCAAGTTATTATAACTTTATCATATTTGGGAATCAAAAGGAGTCGGCGGATTTGATCGGTCCACCTCTCCATCTGCAGTCGAATGCACTGCGATTGAGCTATACTCCGGACTTTCTTGTCCACGAATTATTTAATACTCAAAATATTTACATTTGCTACTCTTGTTAATATTCATCTCGCAAAACTGTGCCTTTTTTTATTCCTGCACCTAACGTAATTAAAATTTTGACCTTGTCTATCTTCGTAGATTACGTAGTCGGCAGGATTTGAACCTGCGCGGGAAAATCCCAACAGATTTCTAGTCTGTCGCCTTAAGCACTCGGCCACGACTACAACTGCGGATTCCGTTCGATGCGGACGTTTTTCTGAAAACAACTATTTATTTGTTAGAACGTACACCACTATCTATTCGAAATTTATGGTTAGCGCAGTTAAATTAAAGAAAGAAATTACTGTTTGAGAATTCTGCTTTATTTGTAAAAAGTCCCATTTCTCTGACCTATAGGTGGAAAAATCTCGACAAATTTCCACTGTCGCCCTAACCTTTACCGACGACTACATATTGATTATCAGATCTAATCGTGCTCTTTCCAGAGACCATGCTGTGTTAATTTTTTATCATACTTGGGATTAAAAAGGAGCGGGCGGATTTGAACCACCGACCTCTCGATCTGCAGTCGAATGCTCTGCCACTGAGCTACACTCCCGACTATCTTCTGCAGGAATTATGTAATACACAAATTCTTTTGACCTACTACTCATCTTATTAATATTCGTCAAGCAAAATTGTTCATTTCTTTATTGCTTTCCCTAACGGAATGTCATAATATTTTGACCAAACTTTATATATTCGGAGATTGCGTAGTCGGCAGGATTTGAACCTGCGCGGGAATATCCCAACAGATTTCAAGTCTGTCGCCTTAACCACTCGGCCACGACTACAAACTGTCCACTGCCATTGATCTGGACGTTTTGGAAAAAGAACTATTTTTATTTCATTCAGACCTGTGTGGTAAAATCTCAACAGATTTCCACTGTCCCACTAAACTCTAACCACGACTACCAAGTTATTATAACTTTTATCATATTTGGGAATCAAAAGGAGTCGGCGGATTTGATCGGTCCACCTCTCCATCTGCAGTCGAATGCACTGCGATTGAGCTATACTCCCGACTTTCTTGTCCACGAATTATTTAATACTCAAAATATTTACATTTGCTACTCTTGTTAATATTCATCTCGCAAAACTGTGCCTTTTTTTATTCCTGCACCTAACGTAATTAAAATTTTGACCTTGTCTATCTTCGTAGATTACGTAGTCGGCAGGATTTGAACCTGCGCGGGAAAATCCCAACAGATTTCTAGTCTGTCGCCTTAACCACTCGGCCACGACTACAACTGCGGATTCCGTTCGATGCGGACGTTTTCCTGAAAACAACTATTTTATTTGTTAGAACGTACACCACTATCTATTGGAAATCTATGGATGGCGCAGTTAAATTAAAGAAAGAAATTACTGTTTGAGATTTGTACTGTATTTGTAAAAAGTCCCATTACTCAGACCTATAGGTGGAAAAATCTGGATAAATTTCCACTGTCACACTAACATTTATCCACGACTACGTAGTGATTGTCAGATCTAATCGTGCTCTTTCCGGAGACCATGCTATGTTAATTTTTTATCATACTTGGGATTAAAAAGGAGCGGGCGGATTTGAACCATCGACCTCTCGATCTGCAGTCGAATGCTCTGCCACTAAGCTACACTCCCGACTTTCTTCTCCAGGAATTATGTTATAGACAAATTCTTTTGACCTACTACTCATCTTATTAATATTCATCTAGCAAAATTGTTCTCTTCTTTATTCGTTTCCCTAATGTAATGTCATAATATTTTGACCAAACCTTACATACTCGGAGATTGCGTAGTCGGCAGGATTTGAATCTGCGCGGGAATATCCCAACAGATTTCAAGTCTGTCGCCTTAACCACTCGGCCACGACTACAAACTGTCCACTGCCATTGATCTGGACGTTTTGGAAAAAGAACTATTTTTATTTCATTCAGACCTGGGTGGAAAAATCTCAACAGATTTCCACTGTCCCACTAAACTCTAACCACGACTACCAAGTTATTATAACTTTTATCATATTTGGGAATCAAAAGGAGTCGGCGGATTTGATCGGTCCTCCTCTCCATCTGCAGTCGAATGCACTGCGATTGAGCTATACTCCGGACTTTCTTGTCCACGAATTATTTAATACTCAAAATATTTACATTTGCTACTCTTGTTAATATTCATCTCGCAAAACTGTGCCTTTCTTTATTCCTGCACCTAACGTAATTAAAATTATGACCTTGTCTAACTTCGTAGATTACGTAGTCGGCAGGATTTGAACCTGCGCGGGAAAATCCCAACAGATTTCTAGTCTGTCGCCTTAACCACTCGGCCACGACTACAACTGCGGATTCCGTTCGATGCGGACGTTTTCCTGAAAACAACTATTTTATTTGTTAGAACGTACACCACTATCTATTGGAAATCTATGGATGGCGCAGTTAAATTAAAGAAAGAAATTACTGTTTGAGATTTGTACATTATTTGTAAAAAGTCCCATTACTCAGACCTATAGGTGGAAAAATCTGGACAAATTTCCGCTGTCGCACTAACCCTTACCCACGACTACATAGTGCTTATCAGATCTAATCGTGCTCTTTCCGGAGACCATGCTATGTTAATTTTTTATCATACTTGGGATTAAAAAGGAGCGGGCGGATTTGAACCACCGACCTCTCGATCTGCAGTCCAATGCTCTGCCACTGAGGTACACTCCCGACTTTCTTCTCCAGGAATTATGTAATACACAAATTCTTTTGACCTACTACTCCTCTTATTAATATTCATCTAGCAAAATTGTTCTTTTATTTATTCCTTTCCCTAACGTAATGTCATAATATTTTGACCAAATCTTATATATTCGGAGATTGCGTAGTCGGCAGGATTTGAACCTGCGCGGGAATGTCCCAACAGATTTCGAGGCTGTCGCCTTAACCACTCGGCCACGACTACTAACTGTCAACTGCCATTGATCTGGACGTTTTGGATAAAAGAACTATTTTTATTTCATTCAGACCTGGGTGGAAAAATCTCAACAGATTTCCACTGTCCCACTAAACTCTACGCAGGACTACCAAGTGATTATATCTTTTATCATATTTGGGAATCAAAAGGAGTCGGCGGATTTGATCGGTCCACCTCTCGATCTGCAGTCGAATGCTCTTCCATTTCTCTATACTCCCGACTTTCTTCTCCACGAATTATCTAATACCAAATTATTTACATTTTCTACTCTTTTTGTTAATATTCATCTCGCAAAATTGTGCTTTTCTTTATTCCTTCACATAATGTAATAAAAATTTTGACCTTGTCTATCTTCGTAGATTACGTAGTCGGCAGAATTTGAACCTGCTCGGGATAATCTCAACAGATTTCTAGTCTGTCGCCTTAACCACTCGGCCACGACTACAAACTGCAGATTCCGTTTGATGTGGACGTATTCCTAAAAAGAACTATTTTTATTTGTTAGAACGTACACTACTATCTATTCGAAATCTATGGTTGGCGCAGTTAAATTAAAGAAACAAATTACTGTTTGAGAATTGTGCTTTATTTGTAAAAAGTCCCATTAGTCTGATCTATAGGTGGAAAAATCTCGACAAATTTCCACTGTCGCCCTAACCTTTACCGACGACTACATAGTGATTATCAGACCTAATGGTGCTCTTTCCAGAGACCATGCTATGTTAATTTTTTATCCTACTTAGGATTAAAAAGGAGCGGGCGGATTTGAACCACCGACCCCTTGATCTGCAGTCGAATGCTCTGCCACTGAGCTACACTCCCGACTATCTTCTCCAGGAATTATGTAATACACAAATTTTTTTGACCTACTACTCCTTTTATTAATATTCATCTAGCAAAATTGTTCTTTTATTTATTCCTTTCCCTAACGTAATGTCATAATATTTTGACCAAACCTTATGTATTTGGAGATTACGTAGTCGGCAGGATTTGAACCTGTTCGGGAATATCCCAACAGATTTCGAGTCTGTCGCCTTAACCACTCGGCCACGACTACAATCTGTCAACTGCCATTGATCTGGACGTTTTGGAAAAAAGAACTATTTTTATTCATCATTCAGACCTGGCCGGAAAAATATGAACAGATTTCCTCTGTCGCACTAAACTCTACGCACGACTACCAAGTGATGATATCTTTTATCATATTTGGGAATCAAAAGGAATCGGCGGATTTGATCGGTCCACCTCTCGATCTGCAGTCGAATGCTCTTCCATTTTTCTATACTCCCGACTTTCTTCTCCACGAATTATCTAATACCAAATTATTTACATTTGCTACCCTTGTTAATATTCATCTCGCAAAATTGTGCCTTTTTTTATTCCTGCACCTAACGTAAATAAAATTTTGACCTTGTCTGTCTTCGTAGATTACGTGGTCCGCAGAATTTGAACAAGGGCTGGATAATCCCAACAGATTTCTAGTCTGTCGCCTTAAGAACTGGGCCACGACTACAACCTGCGGATTCCGTTTGATGTGGACGTTTTGCTGAAAAGAACTATTTTTATTTGTTAGAACGTACACTACTATCTATTCGAAATCTATGGTTGGCGCAGTTAAATTAAAGAAAGAAATTTCTGTTTGAAAATTCTGCTTTATTTGTAAAAAGTGCCATTACTCTGACCTATAGGTGGAAAAATCTCGACAAATTTCCACTGTCGCCCTAACCTTTACCGACGACTACATATTGATTATCAGATCTAATCGTGCTCTTTCCAGAGACCATGCTATGTTAATTTTTTATCATAGTTGGGATTAAAAAGGAGCGGGCGGATTTGAATCACCGACCTCTTGATCTGCAGTCCAATGCTCTGCCACTGAGCTACACTCCCGACTATCTTTTCCAAGAATTAGGTAATACACAAATTCTTTTGACCTACTACTTATCTTATTAATATTCGTCTAGCAAAATTGTTCTTTTCTTTATTGCTTTCCCTAACGGAATGTCATAATATTTTGACCAAACTTTATATATTCGGAGATTGCGTAGTCGGCAGGATTTGAACCTGCGCGGGAATATCCCAACAGATTTCAAGTCTGTCGCCTTAACCACTCGGCCACGACGACAAACTGTCGACTGCCATTGATCTGAACGTTTTGGAAAAAGAACAATTTTTATTTCATTCAGACCTGGGTGGAAAAATCTCAACAGATTTCCACTGTCCCACTAAACTCTAACCACGACTACCAAGTTATTATAACTTTAATCATATTTGAGAATCAAAAGGAGTCGGCGGATTTGATCGGTCCACCTCTCGATCTGCAGTCGAATGCACTGCCATTGGGCTTTACTGCCGACATTCTTCTCCACGAATTATTTAATACTCAAAATATTTACGTTTGCTACTCTTGTTAATATTCATCTCGCAAAATTGTGCCTTTTTTTATTCCTGCACCTAACGTAATTAAAATTTTGACCTTGGCTATCTTCGTAGATTACGTAGTCGGCAGGATTTGAACCTGCGCGGGAAAATCCCAACAGATTTCTAGTCTGTCGCCTTAACCACTCGGCCACGACTACAACTGCGGATTCCGTTCGATGCGGACGTTTTCCTGAAAACAACTATATTATTTGTTAGAACGTACACCACTATCTATTGGAAATCTATGGATGGCGCAGTTAAATTAAAGAAAGAAATTACTGTTTGAGATATGTACATTATTTGTAAAAAGTCCCATTACTCAGACCTATAGGTGGAAAAATCTCGACAAATTTCCACTGTCCCACTAACACTAACCTTCACCCGCGACTACATAGTGATTATCAGATCTAATCGTACTATTAATATTCATCTAGCAAAATTGTTTTGCGGGCGGATTTGAACCGCCGACCTCTCGATCTGCAGTCGAATGCTCTGCCACTGAGCTACACTCCCGACTTTCTTCTCCAGGAATTATGTAATACACAAATTCTTTTGACCTACTACTTCCGTTCGATGCGGACGTTTTCCTGAAAACAACTATTTTATTTGTTAGAACGTACACCACTATCTATTGGAAATCTATGGATGGCGCAGTTAAATTAAAGAAAAAAATTACTGTTTGAGGATTGTACTTTATTTGTAAAAAGTCCCATTACTCAGACCTATAGGTGGAAAAATCTGTACAAATTTCCACTGTCGCACTAACTTTACCCACGACTACATAGCGATTATCAGATCTAATAGTGCTCTTTCCGGAGACCATGCTATGTTAATTTTTTATCATACTTGGGATTAAAAAGGAGCGTGCAGATTTGAACCACCGACCTCTCGATCTGCAGTCGAATGCTCTGCCACTGAGCTACGCTCCCGACTTTCTTCTCCAGGAATTATGTAATAAACAAATTCTTTTGACCTCGTACTCCTCTTATTAATATTCATCTTGCAAAATTGTTCTTTTATTGATTCCTTTCCCTAACGTAATGTCATAATATTTTGACCAAACCTTATATATTCCGAGATTGCGTATTCGGCAGGATTTGAACCTGCGCGGGAATATCCCAACAGATTTCAAGTCTGTCGCCTTAACCACTCGGACACGACTACAAACTGTCGACTGCAATTGATCTGGACGTTTTGGAAAAAGAACTATTTTTATTTCATTCAGACCTGGGTGGGAAAATCTCAACAGATTTCCACTGTCCCGCTAAACTCTCACATCGACTACCAAGTTATTATATCTTTAATCATCTTTTTGAATCAAAAGGAGTCGGCGGATTTGATCGGCCACCTCTCGATCTGCAGTCGAATGCCCTGCCATTGGGCTATACTTCCGACTTTCTTCTCCGCAAATTATTTAATACTCAAAATATTTACATTTGCTACTCTTGTTAATATTCATCTCGCAAAACTGTGCCTTTTTTTAATCCTGCGCCTAACGTAATTAAAATTTTGACCTTGTCTATCTTCCTAAATTACGTAGTTGGCAGGATTTGAACATGCGCGGGAAAATCGCAACAGATTTCTAGTCTGTCGCCTTAACCACTCGGCCACGACTACAACTGCGGATTCCGTTCGATGCGGACGTTTTCCTGAAAACAACTATTTTATTTGTTAGAACGTACACCACTATCTATTGGAAATCTATGGATGGCGCAGTTAAATTAAAGAAAGAAATTACTGTTTGAGATATGTACATTATTTGTAAAAAGTCCCATTACTCAGACCTATAGGTGGAAAAATCTCGACAAATTTCCACTGACCCACCAACCTTCACCCGCGACTACATAGTGATTATCAGATCTAATCGTACTATTAATATTCATCTAGCAAAATTGTTTTGCGGGCGGATTTGAACCGCTGACCTCTCGATCTGCAGTCGAATGCTCTGCCACTGAGCTACAATTCCGACTTTCTTCTCCTGGAATTATGTAATACACCAATTCTTTTGACCTACTACTTCCGTTCGATGCGGACGTTATCCTGAAAACAACTATTTTATTTGTTAGAACGTACACCACTGTCTATTGGAAATCTATGGATGGCGCCGTTAAATTAAAGAAAAAAATTACTGTTTAAGAATTGTACTTTATTTGTAAAAAGTCCCATTACTCAGACCTATAGGCGGATAAATCTGGACAAATTTCCACTGTCGCACTAACTTTACCCACGACTACATAGTGATTATCAGATCTAATGGTGCTCTTTCAGGAGACCATGCTATGTTAATTTTTTATCATGCTTGGGATTAAAAAAGAGCGGGCGGATTTGAGCCACCGACCTGTCGATCTGCGGTCGTATGCTCTGCCACTGAGCTACACTCCCGACTTTCTTCTCCAGGAATTATGTAATACACAAATTCTTTTGACCTACTACTCCTCTTATTAATATTCATCTAGCCAAATTGTTCTTTTATTTATTCCTTTCCCTAACGTAATGTGATAAAATTTTGACCAAACCTTATATATTCGGAGATTGTGTAGTCGGCAGGATTTGATCCTGCGCGGGAATATCCCAACAGATTTCGAGTCTGTCTCCTTAAACACTCGGCCACGACTACAAACTGTCAACTACCATTGATCTGGACGTTTTGGAAAAAAGAACTATTTTTATTTCATTCAGACCTGGGTGGAAAAATCTCAACAGATTTCCACTGTCCCACTAAACTCTACGCAGGACTACCAAGTGATTATATCTTTTATCATATTTGGGAATCAAAAGGAATCGGCGGATTTGATCGGTCCACCTCTCGATCTGCAGTCGAATGCTTTTCCAGTTTTCTATACTCCCGACTTTCTTCTCCACGAATTATCTAATACCAAATTATTTACATTTTCTACTCTTTTTGCTAATATTCATCTCGCAAAATTGTGCTTTTCTTTATCCCTTCACATAACGTAATAAAAATTTTGACCTTGCCTATCTTCGTAGATTACGTAGTCGGCAGAATTTGAACCTGCGCGGGATAATCTCAACAGATTTCTAGTCTGTCGCCTTAACCACTCGGCCACGACTACAAACTGCAGACTACGTTTGATGTGGACGTATTCCTAAAAAGAACTATTTTTATTTGTTAGAACGTACACTACTTTCTATTCGAAATCTATGGTTGGCGCAGTTAAATTAAAGAAGCAATTTACTGTTTGAGAATTGTTCTTTATTTGTAAAAAGTCGCATTACTCTGATCTATAGGTGGAAAAATCTCGACAAATTTGCAATGTCACCCTAACCTTTACCGACGACTACTTATTGATTATCAGATCTAATCGTCCTCTTTCCAGAGACCATGGCACCATGCTATGTTAATTTTTTATCCTACTTAGGATTAAAAAGGAGCGGGCGGATTTTAACCACCGACCTCTTGATCTGCAGTCGAATGCTCTGCCCTGAGCTACACTCCCGACTATCTTCTCCAGGAATTATGTAATACACAAATTCTTTTGACCTACTACTCATCTTATTAATATTCGTCTTGCAAAATTGTTCTTTTCTTTATTCCTTTCCCTAACGGAATGTCATAATATTTTGACCAAACTTTATATATTCGGGGATTGCGTACTCGGCAGGATTTGAACCTGCGCGGGAATATCCCAACAGATTTCAAGTCTGTCGTCTTAACCACTCGGCCACGACTACAAACTGTCAACTGCAATTGATCTGGACGTTTTGGAAAAAGAACTATTTTTATTTCATTCAGACCTGGGTGGAAAAATCTCAACAGATTTCCACTGTCCCGCTAAACTCTAACCACGACTACCAATTTATTATATTTTTTATCGTATTTGGGAATCAAAAGGAGTCGGCGGATTTCATTGGTCCACCTCTCGATCTCCAGTCGAATGCACTGCCATTGGGCTATACTCTCGACTTTCTTCTCCACGAATTATCTAATACTCGAAATATTTACATTTGCTAGTCTTGTTAATATTCATCTCGCAAAACTGTGCTTTTTTTATTCCTTCACCTAACGTAATTAAAATTTTTACCTTGTCTATCTTCGTAGATTACGTAGTCGGCAGGATATGAACCTGCGCGGGAAAATCCTAACAGATTTCTAGTCTGTCGCCTTAACCACTCGGCCACAACTACAAACTGCGGATTCCGTTCGATGCGGACGTTTTCCTGAAAACAACTATATTATTTGTTAGAACGTACACCACTATCTATTGGAAATCTATGGATGGCGCAGTTAAATTAAAGAAAGAAATTACTGTTTGAGAAATGTACTTTATTTGTAAAAAGTCTCATTACTCAGACATACAGGTGGAAAAATCTGGACAAATTTCCACTGTCGCACTAACCCTTACCCACGACTACATATTGATTATCAGATCTAATCGTGCGCTTTCCGGAGACAATGCTATGTTAATTTTTTATCATACTTGGGATGAAAAAGGAGCGGGCGGATTTGAACCGCCGACCTCTCGATCTGCAATCGAATGCTCTGGCACTGAGCTACACTCCCGACTATCTTCTCCAGGAAATATGTAATTCACAAATTCTTTTGACCTACTACTCCTCTTATTAATATTCGTCTAGCAAAATTGTTCTTTTCTTTATTGCTTTCCCTAACGTAATGTCATAATATTTTGACTAAACCTGATATATTCGGATTTTGCGTAGTCGGCAGGATTTGATCCTGCGCGGGAATATCCCAACAGATTTCAAGTCTGTCGCCTTAACCACTCGGCCAAGACTACAAACTGTCGATTCCCATTTATCTGGACGCTTTGGAAAAAGAACTATTTTTATTTCATTCAGACCTTGGTGGAAAAATCTCAACAGATTTCCACTGTCTCACTAAACTTTACCCACGACTGCCAAGTGATTATATCTTTTATCACATTTGGGAATCAAAAGGAGTCGGTGGATTTGATCGGTCCACCTCTCGATCTGCAGTCCAATGCACTTCATTGGGCTATACTCCCGACTTTCTTTTCCACGAATAATCTAATACTCAAAGTATTTACATTTGCTACTCTTGTTGTTAATATTCGTCTTGCAAAACTGTGCTTTTTTTATTCCTTCACCTAACGTAATTAAAATTTTGACCTTGTCTATCTTCGTAGATTACGTAGTCGGCAGGATTTGAACCTGCGCGGGAAAATCCCAACAGATTTCTATTCGGTCGCATTAAGTACTCCGGCACGACAACAAACTGCGGATTCCGTTCGATGCGGACGTTATGCTAAAAACAACTATTTTTATTGGTTGGAACGTACGCTACTATCTATTGGAAATCTATGGATAGCGCAGTTAAATCAAAGAAAGAAATAACTGTTTGAGAATTGTACTTTATTTGTAAAAAGTCCCGTTACTCAGACCTATTGGTGGAAAAATATCGACAAATTCCGCTATTGCACTAACCTTTACCCACGACTCCATAGTGATTATCAGATCTAATCGTGCTCTTTCCAGAGACCATGCTATGTTAATTTTTTATCATACTTGGGATTAAAAAGGAGTGGGCGGATTTGAACTACCGTCGTCTCGATCTGCAGTCGAATGCTCTGCCACTGAGCTACACTGCCGACTATCTTATGCAGGAATTATGTAATACACAAATTCTTTTGACCTACTACTCATCTTATTAATATTCATCTAGCAAAATTGTTCTTTTATTTATTCCTTTCCCTAACGTAATGTCATAATATTTTGACCAAACCTTATATATTCGGAGATTGCGCAGTCGGCAGGATCTAAACCTGCGCTGGAATATCCCAACACATTTCAAGTCTGTCGCCTTAACCACTCGGCCACGACTACAAACTGTCGACTGCCATTGATCTGGACGTTTTGGGAAAAAGAACTATCTTTATTTCATTATTCAGACCTGCGTGGAACAATCTCAACCGATTTCCACTGTCCCACTAAACTCTAACCACGACTACCAAGTGATTATATTTTTTATCATATTTGAGAATCAAAAGGAGTCCTGCGAATTTGATCGGTCGACCTCTCGATCTGCTGTCGAATGCTCTGTCATTTTTCTATACTCCCGACTTTCTTCTCCACGAATTATCTAATACCATACTATTTACATTTACTATTCTTTTTGTTAATATTCATATCGCAAAAATTGTGCTTTTCTTTATTCCTTCACCTAACGTAATTAAAATGTTGACCCTGTCAGATTTCGCACATTACGTAGTCGGCAGGATTTGAACCTGCGCGGGAAAATCCCAACAGATTTCCAGTCTGTCGCCTTAACCACTCGGCCACGACTACAAACTGCGCATTCCGTTTGATGTGGACGTTTTCCTAAAAAGAACTATTTTTATTTGTCAGAATGTACACTACTATCTATTCGAAATCTATGGTTGCGCAGTTAAATTAAAGAAAGAAATTACTGTCTGAGAATTGTGCATTATTGGAAAAAGTCCCATTAGTCTGACTTATAGGTCGAAAAATCTCGACAAATTTCCACTGTCGCCCTAACCTTTACCCATGACTACATATTGATTATCAGATCTAATCGTGCTCTTTCCAGACACCATGCTATGTTAATTTTTTATCATATTTGGGATTAAAAAGGAACGGGCGGATTTAAAGCATCGACCTCTTCATCTGCAGTCGAATGCTCTTCCATTGAGCTATACTCCCGACTATCTTTTCCAGGAATTATGTAATACAGAAATTCTTTTGACCTACTACTCATCTTATTAATATTCGTCTAGCAAAATTGTTCTTTTCTCTTTCCTTTCCCTAACGGAATGTCATAATATTTTGACCTAACCTTATATATTCGGAGATTGCGTGGTCGGCAGGATTTGAACCTGCGCGAGAATATCCCAATGGATTTCAAGTCTGTAGCCTTAACCACTTGGCCAGGACTACAAACTGTCGACTGCCATTGATCTGGACGTTTTGGAAAAAGAACTATTTTTATTTCATTCAGAACTGGGTGGGAAAATCTCAACAGATTTCCACAGTCCCACTAAACTCTAACCACGACTAAAAAGTTATTATGTCTTTTATCAAATTTGGGAATCCAAAGGAGTCGGCGGATTTGATCGGTCCACCTCTCGACTGCAGTCGAATGCACTACCATTGGGCTATACTCCCGACTTTCTTCTCCACGAATTATCTAATACTCAAAATATTTACATTTGCTACTCTTATTAATATCCATCTCGCAAAACTGTACCTTTTTTTATTCCTTCACCTAACGTAATTAAAATTTTGACCTTGTCTATCTTCGTTGATTACGTAGTCGGCAGGATTTGAACCTGCGCGGGAAAATCCCAACAGATTTCTAGTCTGTCGCCTTAACCACTCGGCTACGACTAAAAAGAACTATTTTTATTTGTAAGAACGTACACTAGTACCTATTCGAAATCTATGGTTGGCGCAGTTAAATTAAAGAAAGAAATTACTGTTTGAGAATTGTACTTTATTTGTAAAAAGTCCCATTACTGAGACCTACAGGTGGAAAAATATCGACAAATTTCCACTGTCGCACTAACATTTAACGACTACATAATGATTATCATATCTAATCGTGCTCTTTCCAGAGACCATTCTATGTTAATTTTTTATCATACTTGGGATTAAAAAGGAGCGGGCTGATTTGAAACGCCGACCTCTCGATCTGCAGTCGAATCGTCTGGCACTGAGCTACACTCCCGACTATCTTCTACAGGAAATATGTAATTCACAAATTCTTTTGACCTACTACTCCTCTTATTAATATTCGTCTAGCAAAATTGTTCTTTTCTTTATTCCTTTCCCTAACGTAATGTCATAATATTTTGACCAAACCTTATATATTCGGAGATTGGGTACTCGGCAGGATTTGAACCTGCGCGGGAATATCACAACAGACTTCGAGTCTGTCGCCTTAATTAACAAGTTGACCACGACTACAAACTGTCAACTGCCATTGATCTGGACGTCTTGGAAAAAAGAACTATTTTTATTCATTATTCAGACCTGGGCGGAAAAATCTCAACAGATTTCCACTGTCTCACTAAACTCTGCGCAGGACTACCAAGTGATTATATCTTTTATCATATTTGGGAATCAAAAGGAATCGGCGGATTTGATCTGTCCACCTCTCGATCTGCAGTCGAATGCTCTTCCATTTTCCTATATTCCCGACTGTCGTCTCCACGAATTATGTAATACCAAATTATTTACATTTTCTACTCTTTTTGTTAATATTCATCTCGCAAAATTGTGCTTTTCTATATTCCTTCACCTCACGTAATTAAAATTTTGACATTGTCTATCTTCGTAGATTACGTAGTCGGCAGGATTTGAACATGCGCGGGAAAATCCCAACAGATTTCTAGCCTATCGCCTTAACCACTCGGCCACGACTACAAACTGGGGATTCCGTTTGATGTGGACGTTTTACTAAAAAGAACTATTTTTATTTGTTAGAAAGTACACTACAACCTATTCGAAATCTATGGTTGGCGCAGTTAAATTAAAGAAAGAAATTACTGTTTGAGAATTGTGCTTTATTTGTAATAAGTCCCATTACTGAAACCTACAGGTGGAAAAATATCGACAAATTTCCACTGTCGCACTAACATTTAACGACTACATAGTGATTATCATATCTAATCGTGCTCTTTCCAGAGACGATTCTATGTTAATTTTTTATCATACTTGGGATTAAAAAGGAGCGGGCTGATTTGAAACGCCGACCTCTCGATCTGCAGTCGAATGCTCTGGCACTGAGCTACACTCCCGACTATCTTCTACAGGAAATATGTAATTCACAAATTCTTTTGACCTACTACTCCTCTTATTAATATTTGTCTAGCAAAATTGTTCTTTTCTTTATTCCTTTCCCTAACGTAATGTCATAATATTTTGATCTGAACGTTTTGGAAAAAGAACTATTTTTATTTCATTCAGACCTGTGTGGAAAAATCTCAACAGATTTCCGCTGTGCCACTAAACTCTAACCACGACTACCAAGTTATTATATCTTTTATCATATTTGGGAATCAAAAGGAGTCGGCGGATTTCATCGGTCCACCTCTCCATCTGCAGTCGAATGCACTGCCATTGGTTTATACTCCCGACTTTCTTCTCCACGAATTATCTAATACTCAAAATATTTACATTTGCTACTCTTGTTAATATTTATCGCGCAAAACTGTGCCTTTTTTTATTCCTTCACCTAAAGTAATTAAAATTTTGACCTAGTCTATCTTCGTAAATTACGTAGTCGGCAGGATTTGAACCTGCGCGGGAAATCCCAACAGATTTCTAGTGTGTCGCCTTAACCACTCGGCCACGACTATAAACTGCGGATTCCGTTCGACGCGGACGTTTTCCTGAAAACAACTATTTTATTTGTTAGAACGTACACCACTATCTATTGGAAATCTATGGATGGCGCAGTTAAATTACAGAAAGAAATTACAGTTTGAGAATTGTACTTTATTTGTAAAAAGTCCCATTACTCAGACGTATAGGTGGAAAAATCTGGACAAAATTCCACTGTCGCACTAACCTTTATCCACGACTACATAGTGATTATCAGATCTAACCTTGCTCTTTCAAGAGACGATGCTATGTTAATTTTTTATCATACTTGGGATTAAAAAAGAGCGGGCGGATTTGAACCATCGATCTCTCGATCTGCAGTCGAATGCTCTGCCACTGTGCTACACTCCCGACTTTCTTCTCCAGGAATTATGTAATACACAAATTCTTTTGACCTGCTACTCCTCTTATTAATATTCATCTTGCAAAATTGTTCTTTTATTTATTCCTTTCCCTGACGTAATGTCATAATATTTTGAGCAAACCTTATATATTCGGAGATTGCGTAGTCGGCAGGATTTGAACCTGCGCGGGAATATCCCAACAGATTTCGAGTCTGTCGCCTTAACGACTCGTCCACGACTGCAAACTCTCAACTGTCATTGATCTGGAAGTTTTGGAAAAAAGAACTATTTTTATTCATTATTCCGACCTGGGTGGAAAAATCTCAACCGATTTCCACTGTCCCACTAAACTGTACCCACGACAACCAAGTGATTATATATTTTATCATATTTGGGAATCAAAAGGAGTCGTGCGGATTTGATCGGTCCACCTCTCGATCTGCAGTCGAATGCTCTGTCATTTTTCTATACTCCCGACTTTCTTCTCCACGAATTATCTAATAGCAAATTACTTACATTTACTATTCTTTTTGTTAATATTCAACTCGCAAAAATTGTGCTTTTCTTTATTCCTTCACCTAACGTAATTAAAATTTTGAAACCTGTCAATATTCGTAGATTACGTAGTCGGCAGGATTTGAACATGCGCGGTAAAATCCCAAGAGATTTCTAGTCTGTCCCCTTCACCACTCGGCCACGACTACAAACTGCGGATTCCGTTTGATGTGGACGTTTTCCTAAAAAGAACTATTTTTATTTGTTAGAACGTACACTACTATCTATTCGAAATCTATGGTTGGCGCAGTTAAATTAAAGAAAGAAATTACTGTCTGAGAATTGTGCTTTATTTGTAATAAGTCCCATTACTGAGACCTGCAGGTGCATGGAAAAATATCGACAAATTTCCACTGTCGCACTAACATTTAACGACTACATAGTGATTATCATATCTAATCGTGCTCTTTCCAGAGACCATTCTATGTTAATTTTTTATCATACTTGGGATTAAAAAGGAGCGGGCTGATTTGAAACGCCGACCTCTCGATCTGCAGTCGAATGGTCTGGCACTGAGCTACACTCCCGACTATCTTCTACAGGAAATATGTAATTCACAAATTCTTTTGACCTACTACTCCTCTTATTAATATTCGTCTAGCAAAATTGTTCTTTTCTTTATTCCTTTCCCTAACGTAATGTCATAATATTTTGACCAAACCTTATATATTCGGAGATTGCGTACTCGGCAGGATTTGAACCTGCGCGGGAATATCCCAACAGACTTCGAGTCTGTCGCCTTAATTAACCAGTCGACCACGACTACAAACTGTCAACTGCCATTGATCTGGACGTCTTGGAAAAAAGAACTATATTTATTCATTATTCAGACCTGGGCGGAAAAATCTCAACAGATTTCCACTGTCCCACTAAACTCTACCCACGACTACCAAGTGATTATATCTTTTATCATATTTGGGAATCAAAAGGAATCGGCGGATTTGATCTGTCCACCTCTCGATCTGCAGTCGAATGCTCTTCCATTTTCCTATATTCCCGACTGTCTTCTCCACGAATTATGTAATACCAAATTATTTACATTTTCTACTCTTTTTGTTAATATTTATCTCGCAAAATTGTGCTTTTCTTTATTCCTTCACCTAACGTATTTAAAATTTTGACCTTGTCTATATTCGTAGATTACGTAGTCGGCAGGATTTGAACCTGCGCGGGAAAATCCCAACAGATTTCTAGTCTGTCGCCTTAACCACTCGGCCACGACTACAAACTGCGTATTCCGTTTGATATGGACGTTTTCCTAAAAAGAACTATTTTTATTTTTTTAAAACGTGCACTACTATCTATTGGAAATCTATGGTTGGCGCAGTTAAATTAAAGAAAGAAATTTCTGTTTGAGGATTGTGCTTTATTTGTAAAAAGTCCAATTATTCAGATCTATAGGTAGAAAAATCTCGACAAATTTCCACTGTCCCACTAGCCTTTACCCACGACTACATGGTGATTATCAGATCTAATCGTGCTCTTTCCAGAGGCCATGCTATGTTAATTTTTTTATCATACTTGGGATTAAAAAGGAAGGGGCAGAATTTTTTTTGTAAATAGCTCTTAATATCTTCTTTATGGATTTTTTTCTATTTTTGCACACGCCCCTCGTGGAAATCAGCTTCGGTTGACGGGGTTAGCGTGTATAAATAAAGTTTATCTATCTATCATTATGTAATACTCAAATTCTTTACATTTTCTACTGTTCTTGTTAATATTCATCTGGCAAAATTGAGCTTTTCTTCATTTCTTCGCCTAACGTAATGTCTTAAAATTTTGACCATTTTCTATATTCGTAGATTGCCATTCACTCGCCTGCTGCTCGAGCGGTATTTTTACGCTTTCCGAAAGTCTCGCGACATCCTTCGTGCATGGATCACGCAATCAGGGACGTCGCTATAAGGAGGTGTGGGGGTGTAACACCACCCCCCCAAATAATTCAAACGTTGGTCAAAGTTGGTGAAAATGGAAGTGATATTTGCCCAAAGTTGGTCAAAATGAAACTATTATTTGCTTAAAATTGAAGGTAAAACTGGGAAAAATTTGGTAAAAGTTTGAGATGAAAGTTGGTCGAAGTTGTTCAAATTTATGAAATGGTTCGCAATTTTAACAATTTTAAAGCTTCTGTAACGTTTGCAGCGAAAAAATCGGGAGCCTTGCTTATTTTGGCCGAAAAATTTTGAATACGCTTACATTAGTCCGGAAATTTTTTTTTGACTATGTTAGTCCGAAAAATGTTTGTGACAAGCAAAAATAAAAATATGTTTTGTGTGACGTCCGAGGAGAACACTTTCTTCAAGTACATGTCTTTTAAGCGTTATACTGTTTTTAACATATGCTAAACAATATTTTAATAATCGCATCTCCACGCAATCGTAGAGAATTATAAAACGGCTCAGATTCACTCTAATATGCATGCGCGAGCATTCTCCAACTCAGCCGACAACCTGTTACGTAGCACAGTTTAATACAAAGTTAAGTTCATTCCCCTTATGATCTTGGGAATCGTGAAACTGATCTAGTATTACCAAAACCAAAGAAAGAATTTCTTAAAATAAGTTTTAATCTGTCTATTGAAGCAAAAAGCGCTGATTCCGTTTATTCATTCAAGAGAATTATATGATCTACGGCGAGGTGAGGCTGACCTGTCCTCAATAATATTTATTTGTTTCGTTTATATATTTCTGTCTACCTGTTAGTCTTTGTATGCTTCATGTAACTTTAATTTGTACATATATATTATTTGTGTAATTAGTTAGTTAACACGCCCCTCATGAAGAACAGCTGATGTTGATGAGGCTAGCGTGTCAAAATAAAGTATTATGTATGTAATGTTTACAACATGAGCGGCCGTGTTGTATCGGATATACAAACTCGAGCCGAAGGCGAGAGTTTGTATATCCGATACAACACAGACGCGAATGTTGTAAACAACTTAAAAAACTACTCATCTTATGAGTTCATTGGCGAAGTAATTTTAAACATAAATTTTGTCTAAGCCGAGAAAATCAATGTTCAAGTTTATGTAAATCAACATGAATCTGTATCACATATACAGATACGACACGCTTATGATTTTTCTTTGTGTTTTCTTCATGAATTATTAATGAGCTGTTAAGTATGTATGTATGTAAGTTCAGGAGATGTAGAAAAGAAATTACTGACGTCAGTCAAATCGTGTCACGGGGCTATTAAGGCCACCCATTGTGAACAAAGCGCCGCACTACAATGTTATAAGCCTTTGTATAGAGTTGCGGGTATATTCTTATCATTTTAGGAGCATAAACGTTATAAGATAAGATTATTTGAAACGATTGCCGAAAACTTTGATATCGTTTGGTCGTTTCACGGGGAAAACAGCGAAATTTTATCGGAACATGTAAAATGAATGTTTTGTTGCTTTATTATAGTGATTCACTGCGCATGAGGACAATCAGACGCTTCAGTTAGCATGCATTTACAGTGTAAATCTAGTGATGCGTGCTTCTGAATTAGTATTCATAACTTTCATAAACATCGCTCGAACATGCCTTTCTGATCTTTAATGCGCTCATGTGACCTAAATACCGCGTCGTGATTTGTTTGTAGCCTTATTAATTATTCATGAATTTTACAAGTATATATCCATCTCAGACCACCGTAGTGAAATAATGCTTGTCAGTTTAAAATAAAATTTAGTGTGTTTCAGACAATCTTGGACATAGTAACCCTTGAGTCCTCGAGACCGTTCGCCCCAATATTGCAAGCTATAGGTTAATGTATATTGACAAAACCAACTTCGTCACCCTCTCCCCCCCTCCCCCCCTCAGTTCAATGTTGTGAACAACCTGGATAACTGACAACTGTTGGTAGGTTTTTCCATGTCAAAGCTCATAGACGTTTGAGACAGGGGGAAACTGCCCCCCCCCCCCCCCCACTCCCCCCAAAAAAATTGGAAAACCATGGGCATGGAAATTCGGGCAAATGCTACGGAAAATAAAGAAAATTCGGTCATTTAATACAATACAATACAATACAATACAATACAATACAATACAATACAAAACAATAAACTTTATTAGCACCATTAGAATACATAAAATAAATACAAACTGAGATTCGATTAAATAGTGCAGGTTATCTGAAATAACAATAGTTAATCTAGTCAGATAACCTCTAGTTTATTTGAGACATTATGAGGTCGCTAATTAACGAAAAAACATATGCAAAACATAAAATAACAGAAGAAATATTAATAAACGTTAATATCAGATAAGCTAATAAAGGTTTAACCTATTGTTGATAATACTCTTTTTAAACTTGAATCTGGAAAACATTTTCATTTCATCATCTGAATAGTTCCATATTTTTGGACCTTGAAATCTTATAGAGAATTTTCCATAATTTGTTCTGATTATATAAGGGTAGCTAGAGAATACGAATTTTTTGAGGCTAGGCAAGTGTTATAACTGTGTTTTAATTTAACAGGTAAAAAACGTTTTCGAATAATAAACGAAGCTTATTATTGTAAAAATCATACATAAATAATGAGTTGTAGAGAAATATTAAATCATTTAGTTTTAATAATCAATTTCTTTTGAATAAAGGTTCAGTGTGTCCATCAAAATTTGAGAATGTCATTAAACGCATATATAGCTTTCTTTTGTAATATGTTCAAAGGGTGCAAAGTCGTCATGTATGTATTACCCCAAATAATTATTCCATATGTAAGAAAGGGATATATCAATGAATAATATCATTCTATTAATATTGGGAGTGTGACGTAATAACGCAGTTTGCAAAGTATTCCAATACTTCTTTTAATCTTTTTTGAAATTTTGAAATATAAATTATTTGTGATTTCCAATTTAAGTGAGAATCAATGTGGATGCCTAGATACTTAATGGAGTCCTCTTGTTTCAAAAGCATATTGTTTATATATAATTTAGGCACACAATTAACCCTTTTTTGAGGACTACGAAAAATGACAAAGTTCGTCTTATCAATGTTAATAGACAATTTATTTGCACACAACCATTTATAAATTTCACACAATTCAATATTTACTTGATGTTCAAGATTAGATAGGTTATCATTGGAATAAAACAAATTGGAATCATCTGCAAGTAAATGAAAATCGAATAACCTGGAACTGTTACTAAAATAGTTTACGTATACAGGAGAAATAACAAGGGTCCGAGTACACTGCCTTGAGGAACACCATAAGTGACCAATTCCTCATCTGAGTTTGTATTTCCTATTGAGAAATATTGCTTTCTATCAGTATTTGACGAACTTTCGAGTGCCTCCCCCCCCCTCCCATTTTACAAATCCAGAATCAGGTCATTTCTTGCGCTTTCAGAATCAAATTTGGTGTTGTTTTTGGGCTTAAATCTATGTATGTATCTACAAGTATCTACATAATTCTCATATATATAAGGCTCCAAAATGTAACTTTTAGGACTGCCAAAGTTTTACAACTACCCATTTTACTTTTGAAACTACCCATTTCGGAAAATGTGAGCCCCTGTATCGTCTATCGAGGAAAATATATGTCCAAGACTGGTAGCACGTAGAAGGCGACCGCCGCCTACCGAGGATTTGCTTGAAAATAAATGACCCATAGTAAATTTACTTGATGTCATTTTAGCATGCTGACAGAACGAAGAAAATAGTTTCTGCCAGATAAATAGCGTTGGCGTCACATTATTACCGGTCACCGACAAATAATCACTTCCTCAACATAAATCATATTATGTCAATATAAAGCTGTGGGCGGTGAAATCCGTGAAATTTGATAATGTTTTTGAATTACCCGGAAAGTGGGTGAATGGAAAACAGATCTGAAACGAGGAATCAGAGTGACCTATTAAAAATCGAGATTTTGTTGGCATATCACTAGATCGAGGCCCTGTTCACACTATATCGGATGACTTTTTAAACCGGATTAATTTTCACTCTGAAGTAAAAAACAAGGGTGTTTACACTACAGTACCGTCCAACGGAAACTATACATTTTTTTCGAGCGAGATTCGAGCGAGTTTCGAGAATGTTCGAGCGAGAAACGCGACGCGAAAGCTTGCGAGGTCGCTCGTTACGCGCAATGACTCGCTCGAATAATTTGTTTACTGCTTTCGCGTAATCGCGAATCGCGCTTCGCGAATCGCGCTTCGCGAATCGCGCTCGATAAATCGCTTATTATTATTATTATTATTATTATTATTATTTAAGCTTATTTATTCACGGTAGCCTTTCAGAAGCCTGTTTTTCAAAGGGCCGTGCACACTTACTATAAACTATTATAAGAATATTAAAATTATTAACTAAAAAAAAAAAAACAAAAAAAAAACAATCATGCATAATATACTCTATTTACATCGGCAAGGCATAATGCTTTGATATGGTTTGGCAGGATGACCTCCCAATTCAAAAACACAAGCCATCTATTAATTTTTTAAAAGGACTGATGGAAGTTTCAGGTATTTCTGTAATTGGAAGTTTTTCCATTAACATTTGGTTCCATGAAACTGCTCCTCTATAGGAGAAGCTTCTTTTTAAAAAATTCGTCTTAGGTTTTGGTAGGTAAAGCTTTTGATGATTATTTCGTAGTTGGTAGGTTTGGTTAACGGAGACATGAAACATCTGTGTTAAGTATTCTGGAGCCATACCCCTAAGTGCTTTAAATGTCATCAATAATTCCCTCTTTTTTAGTATTGATTGTATTTTTGTCCATTTGAGCATTTGAAAAATTTCAGAAGATCGTTCTTCTAAGCCCGAACTGGTAATGATCCGTGCTGCACGCTTTTGCAATTTCAGCATATTTTCGGCGTGCATTTTATTACCATCATACCATATAGTTGAACAATAGTTGAAATAGGGGAGTACAAATGACTTATACATCATCTGTAGTGTTGCTTGAGGTACGTAAGGCTTCACTTTTCGTAACATAGCTATAGAACAAGAAATCTTTTTAGTTTGTTTTTCAACATGTTTTGTCCATTGTAATTTATCGTCTATTTCTAAGCCTAAGACCTTTTTCTTGTAAACCCGTTTAATTATATGATCTCTAATTTTAATAATAGGGTCATTTCTGATCTGTTTTAAGCGCTTTCCTGAGCCGATTAGCATATACTCGGTTTTTTCTTCATTTAATGTTAATTTGTTTGCATCCGGTAACCAAGTCTTTACGTTTTGGATTTCCACATGGATGAGCAAAAACTTCATGGCAGCGAAAAACATAAAAGGCTAGTTATTCAACATACATATCGGTGTACGGAAATCTTACCTTGTTTTTTCTAAACGACTGTCGGTACATAAATTATTCACAGTTTCACTTTAGGCTTAGCGAAGTGTCGAAATTCGAAAATGGCATGAAACGCGGTAATTCTTTCAATATTTAAAAGCCAGATAATTTATAAACAAACCTTTGTGATAGAAACTGTAACAGCTTGTCGAGTTGTCGATGCTCGCAGAGTTGAAACGCCATGTCAATGAAGCAGTAAAACACAGATACACGTGTTTTAATTTAAAGATTCAAACCAAATGAATGCTTTGCCTTTGAGGAAGTGAAATTATTTTAATTACTCAATAACAAAACAGACAAAAAGCCTGTATCAACCTTAATGACCCATTAATAACCGATTAATAACAATATGAACTAAAAATAAAGTATGACAACAAGAGCAATTTCAAATCTGTTCAGTTTTTTTTATAAACCCTGTATTATTAGTATTTTGTAATTTGTTCTACCTCCTCCGCAGGCCATTAGCCCTATTCACATTAGAGACTAGACGAACAAATCCTCTCTCAAAAATCGTCTTCACAGACAGTAGTCGAACAAATTCAGACGACTTGTTCGTCTAAAATTTTGTACGACACGTTTTCACATCTGATGATTTGTCTGCCTAAAAGACGATTTTGAGACGATTTGTTCGTCTAGACGACTTGTCCGTCTTCTAATGTGAAAACGGCTAACAGTTTGAAGCCTTTGACGATTCATGTGGCTTAACTAAAAAACAATTTTACGGAAAACTAGATTCTAATAATAAAGTAATATAATAATAATAAGTTTATTTAGAGTGTGTTTAATGCATGGTACAGTATATCTACGCTTTAAGTTCTCTCACTTCTCTAGTCTACCTGTCAGTTAAAAACCGACTCATAACTTAGAAGTTTGAGTGACGAGTATGTCCGACGACCTCCGAAAGGCCTCCAAAGTTTTTACTCTTGTGCAATCGAGTGAGATCATATAAATTGATTAATCACGTATCATGTTTATTATGACTGATTATGAAATAGATCGAAAGAAACATAGCACTAAAAACGCAGTTCACGAAACAGACATCCTTAATTCTCATTTCACGGAACATTTTTATCGACAATCACACCTCACGGCTGTAGAAAAAATCACATTTCACGACACTAAAATCAAGCATTTCACGCGAACAAATATTGACCGTTCACGGCTCACGAAAATACCCCGGCTTTCAAGAGTCCTTCGTCTGTGCCTTCGTGGCGCCATCAGATGTAGATTCATTAAATCTTGTCCATGCCTGCACCACCTGACACTTCCCGCACGTCACATGACTAAATCGTGAGGAAGGATGTCGAATGTTGACCCTTTCTCCGACAAAAGATCAGTGCCAAATTTGAACTCATGTTCCTGTTCGAAGCGTTTTAATGGTCAGATTGTTGGTTTTAATCTACGTGGTGTATTATTCAGCAACGTAAGTGTTTAAATACCATATTCTAATGATGTTTACTTGTTCTGAACGATCGTATTTATAGTCGTTAAATATCGAGTTGGGCTGGTCACCTTTTACATTTGATTTCAGCGAAGTGGGTTCGTCTCGCGAAAAACCATGCATCTATGTATCGTTTATATTTAGTGTGTCTTTTTAATATAATTGTTTGCCGGTTTATATTCAAGTCGTGTAAATGAGAAATAAGCGACGATCGAAATGGGCTATACAACGCAATGTTTTGCCAAGATATTTTTATTTGTAATCATATGATAGCGAATTTTGAGTGCCATGTCTGAAATTCGCGAACATGTATTCGGCATTGATGGTTCACTCTACATTCATAGAAACTCGACGTTCTTTTTACTATTGAAGAGATCTAAACATATCTGACGAAATTATACAACTATGGAAAAGATACTGCACAAATAAAGCATCCGTGATATCTGACAGCGTTTTATTGTTTCATAATATATTCCATTCGTGTAATTATAGTCTTGCCGCAGTGTGGTTAGCAAACCTCGAAGCATGAATTTCGTAAGTTTCGTTTTCATAAATTCTCGTCTATTAAAATTTCTAAACGAAGCCTTTATAATATGAAAGTTGTGGAATGCTAGAATCAACGTATGTAAGCCGAACTTCAACGTAAACGACTTAATTGTTACATCAATTCAATCGGATAAATTCGTTATATGTATAAATTCGCGTTCAATATTGTTGCTTGCAAGTCCAGATTCAGGGATACATTTTGTGACTTTTGTATGGTCCGTTGGGTATTTTCTTGATTCCCTGTGAATATAAATTAAATATATATATATAAATATACAGTATAAGTGGAGCCGGTAGGTATTGTTCATGTATCTAATTTGGTATAAACTGTATTTAATTTAAGGTTTTAGATGATATTGAAACTATAACGCAGTTAATGTCTTAAGAGGATGTTAGCATATCCTCAAAAATTAAATCACAGTTCCTATGTTTCAAAGAAGAGACTCTCAAGGAACACTAATTTCTAGGAACTATATATGATTTGTATGTACAGTTAATCCTCAAAATGAAATCTGATCACTAAGCAATAATAGGCAACAAATGTGTGTGTTCTGTGGCAAAGAAGGCCTTGTTCAGATAATTTGATAGAGAGAGAAAAATATTACCCCACTGAATCCAAAACAGGATACTGTGTAACGGTAAATAAAACTCTTTACTTTAGTCATAATTAAGAACATAATGATAACCAATTTGTGCAGTAATCAAGTGAGAGCATGCAGTATAAAAGAGTAAAAAGTGCAGTGATAAAGTGTGTTGTGATAAATTCTTAATTAACAGAACCCACTAAAACCTTCAAAATCAATTATTTAAATGTCCTATTGATGGTGCCAAACTTGACAAACTGATTTTAAAGTTACATGGAATTCACTCTCAGACTCATTTATTTTAGCAGCGATACATGCATGCATGGTCCCTGACTGGAAAGTTTGGAAATTGTGTACCCGAGATTTCGAAAATTTAATAGTAAATATATAGAAAACATCAAAATTGCACGCCCGATATCTCAGTTGCACTATACAAACTTTCCATGTACAGCTGTGGTGTAAAGAGTGTCGTCTGTAGTAATGATTTTATAATGACTTCATAATGTCAGTTGATTGAGTGAAGGTGTCATTCATTTTGATTTTTTAACGATAATTTCCAATTTAACATGTTGCAAAGCAAAGTAGGTTAAAATCTTCATAAATTATGCATTTGCACATTAATTTAACATTTAACAAAAACATTTTCCGTGTTGATATACAGTACAGTTATATCAACACGAGTGAGAATTGGGAAAACAGAAATTGTGTGGAAACAGACGCCCCGATGTTTCCGTGTTGACATGGAGTTATATCAACACAGCTCTTAGCCAATCAGTGTTCAGAATTTACAAATGCTATATTATAAATTGTGTTAATTAAAACACAACATATTATATGTATAAACATGGAAATGTATATAATTTTTAAAGTTAGTATTTTCTCACAATCTGTTTTACACAATTGGAAAATAAAATACAGATAATTCTGCAGATTCCGATTGTCTACCGGTAAAGCAAAAATCGGCCCGATACCAATTATTGATCAATCACTGAAGGTATACGTTTTGGTCACACCATGACAATCCAGTAGGTGTGGCCACCAGCAAAGAAAAAGCACTCCATTTTGGAAGTGATCTGAAAATTAATCTGTAAATGTGCCTTGCAAAAACACATCTTATAATTTACATTTTGTGACCTAAATATTGTTAAAATTGTCAGTATTTTAAAATGTGCAGACATTCCAACTACTGGAGGTAAAATTTAGGGAGACTGTTCAGTGAATTGAAGTCTAGTTCTTATGGGAAAAAAATAATAAAAATTAAATCTTCTGAAATGGCATTTCCTGCATTTTGGGAATATGTTGTTATAAGTGATCCTATAAATTGTCATAAAGTAACTTCATAAAACGGTCAAGACAGACTATTATGTTGCCAAAAACAGTACATTTATGATTTTTTTACGATATTTCCTGAATATTCTGAAAAATCGGGGGAATTTGATAAAAATCGGGAGACCCGGGGCCGGTTGTTCAAAGGTGGGTTAGCGCTAACCCTGGGTTAAAATTTAACCTGCTGTTTTAGTTTCTATATTTCTGCACGTCTGTTTATTTCAAAACTTCAGAGAAGTAAACTCTTATCGATCCAGACAAGATTTCTGAAGAAATATTTCCAAATTTATAGACAAGCTGTCAGGAAGTTTGATTTGAATTTTGTGTTAACCTAGGGTTAAGCTAACCGAGCTTTGAACAACTGGCCCCAGGAGATTGCATGAATTTTCGGGAGACTGCCTGTAAAATCGGGAGAGTTGGAATGTCTGAATGTGCCTGTTTAACATTCACAGCCACTGTTGAGTATCCTGTTAACATTTTTTGCATTTAATTTTGTTTGAATTGTTTTCGGTATCTGTTGATTCTGCAAAGTTTCCAAACGGCTGACACTACTTAACCAAGCAAAATCCGAAATGATCAACTTTATATCCAACATTTTCGTTTCAAAAAATCTTTAGTTTTCTGCAAGGAGTTATTCACTTATTTAGACTTATTTTCACTTCCCAAACATTAATCTGCTAAGGCCAAGAAAATAAAAAAATGGTTTCCAGTTTCATAGCTATGTTTTATAAGGGTAGGTACTAGGTTAGTAGGTAGGTTGGAAAAATATTTTGTTTTATTTATTTTATAAGTATTATTTTGTAACAAGTATAATTATATTGTATGGGCATGCACAAGAAATATATACAAATGTATACAAATGCATAGATTCAAATTTAAAACTGTCATTAACATGACCAGACATGGTGGAAAGTTTTGAAAAAGGTTTGGGGGGGGGGCATAAATTTGTGAAAAGGGGAGCTAATTTAAAAAGGGGATAGAGCCCCTTGACTGAATTATTCAGGTGGAAAAAGTATATTGGAACAGGAAACCATTGTTCTCAGAACATTTTTTGAGTTCCCAGAAAATATTTCCCCAATTCAGAGGAAAAATTCAGAAGAAAAATTGAAATTCAGAGGAAAAATTGTAACCAATAGAAAGAATACCACCTGTACTGTAGGTATGACCTCACATCTAAATATAGACTATAGAATGATGTGCATTTACATGGTATATACTGGTATGATGATGATGATATACCAGTGTTCAATATTTGCAATATCAAGTTAGAGCTGTGCAAACTCCGGTTATTTTAACTCTGGCTGCGGCAGTCAAAACTCCGGCTCCGGCAAGAACTTTTTAAGGAAATTCCATATTTAAAAGTGGAAGCAGGCGAAAGTACTTCAGTGTAATTTCAGAATTTATCTTTTTTAAAAACCTTTTTACAACACTATTAATAGTAAACAACATAGTAATATATAGTAAAACAACATATAAATAGTAATATAATAATATATTAGTAAACAACAACTTAATTTTCCCATTTAATGCCAAATGTTCGTTGAAATATGAAATAATTTTTCATAATTTTGTCTGCCGGAGTTTTTTCTGGAGTTTTCCGGCTCCGGCAAAATATGCTGGCACTCCGGCTCCGGCGCACAGCTCTATATATCGAGTCTATGTATAAATAAATTCTTTTGGTATGCTGTTCTGGTATGCAGTACTTCAATGTTTTTCAAATGTTGGATACTGTGGTTAAAATTCCTATATTTCAATCATTATATAATCAAGCAGTATTAAGCAACTTGATTTACAGATACTTTTTATATGTAATTTTTTCCCAGAGTTACAAGAAAGCAACTATTTTCAGATTAAGGTGCAAGGTAACCATAATAACTGTGGGATTAGACAATACATATTGACATATTGTATGCATATCGATTAAAAAATAAAACCCCATAGATTTAAAAATAAAACCCCAAAAAGTAAATAGATGAAAATCTGGGGGAGGGTGGCATCAGACCGTGTGAAAAGGGTTTACTAGAATTTAGCAAATTATTTTTCAGGTATTACGATATTGCTCTCGTGAAATATTTTCAGGTTTATTTTAAAATTCATATTTTTAAGTTTCTTTTTGTACAGTATGTCATTCCACAGTTTTGCTTCATGCATAATTTGTTGTTATTTGTGGGATGGAGTAAAACAACCTTGAAACGAGCCTGGTTGTGTATATAGCTGTATGTTTTTGGTCAACAAAAAGAAAAAAAGTATTAAATATTTCTGTTAAAAGGCCTGCATTATAGTGATAGTACATCAATATGGCAGCATAAAGAAAAACTACTGTATATCATGAAATTTTAAGATTTCCAATTCAACAAAAAGATCTAGGATTAGTGTTCCCAAAAGTTATCTGTCGAGCAACTTTTCTTGCAAAAAAGTAAAGGATTGTTGATGACAAAATACTAATTAAACCATATATTAGGAAATGGTTGACACAATTGCTGACATACACGTCCACTTAACTGTGACACAACAAGATGTAAGGCTATACATACTTGTATAACGGGCTTGGGTCATGGACAGGATGAGAAGCTAGGTGAAAGATATTTCAAAGTTTGTTAAGGATACTACAGTGTTGCAGCAAATGTCAATCACACTAAATTATTGCATGACCAAGGAGCATTGTGATATCTAACGATATAACATTTGTCAAGTTTTTACTGATATGATGAATATATTTATATATTTATTTACATCTGCATGATCAGTGCAGCTTGGTCCATCTAGACACGAGATACCACCGTATTTATACTCACTCGCTTGCTCTCACCACGTGCATGTGATATACAGTAATACTGTAAATCACATCTGTGCATATACAGACATGATGGAGTGGCATGGGTGCTCAACGATAAGCTGACAATGGAAGTGAAGCTCTGTTTCCTAGAAAGGATTAAGGATGACACCTTTATATTTTTAGGTGTTCAACGGTTCAAACAGGGTTTATTTTAACGTGCAGTTCTACACAAAATGTGCAGTTCAAAACCCATTTGTGCATTTCTTAAAACTCAAATGTGCAATCACCAAACTAACAAAAATAGCCTTAATTACTCGTTACCCTTGTGGATGCTCCAGAAAATCCAGAATTGCTGTCATTAATTGAGCATCAAAAATATAAACGTTTTCTGGTTGAGGACTCCAGACCCTCCTATTTTCCTCACAAATCACTTACGTGCTGGCGTAATAGAAGAGAAGGTAAAATTGGGGCGAGTGAAGCTCCCCAAAAGAGATTAGAGTGGGAGAACCTAATATTCATTGCTGCCTCAAATGCAAATTTATGGTTGTTATATATTGAATATCCATGATTCCCAGTTACATGTTTTGAAACAGTTTTTGTGAGTGGTATGGTTGGGTAAACAAATCTTTGTCAGAACTAAGAGCCTCTAGATTCAAATTGTTTTGGGGAACACCCCCTAGCGCCCGCACCCAAAATCGAGTTTGTCTGGCTTTTCTCCAACCCAACCACACCATTATTCTGTCACCTATATGCAGGTATAAATCCTTCGACCCCCGTCAAACACCCGTTGCCTTCGTAACATCCCTATATCATGTGCAGTTCTAAATTTTTCTTAAAATAATCCCTGAGTTCCAAAAGTGTTTAACGTTTCCCGGCTAAGAATTCAAGTTTTGAACTGCCTTCATCAAAATAATGCGAATTAATGAATTATGGCTTTTTCAAATTGCAAAATATATAAATTATGTCAAACTAGTTACGTCCTATAATACTGCATTTTAAATGTTTTATTGTTTTTTCTCAGTATATTCTCCAATGTGATAGCTAATATCTGGCACCGATACCAAGTGTGAAGTTGATGTATTTTTGCATCTTGTGAAGTTGATGTGTTCTGCAGTAGCTTGCATCTTATGACTTATCTCATCAACAAGTTTTTTTAAAAACCACAATCCGTAGATTAGCATCTTGAATCTCAACATATGAGTCAAAACAAGACAAGAATGAGTTTCTGATTTTTCTATCTTATTTCAAAATCATCAATAGTGAAATTGACTAAAGTTACAACATATGCATGGTCTTTTATACAAGCTGGTATGGCATGACGTAGTCACACAGGAGTTTATATACAGGCAGTACAATCCCGACAACAAAGGTGTGGAGTGAAAATGTGATGGCATGTAGGTTTATTGAGAAAGGATTATGAAAAGAGTACAAGTTCGTTGTTGGGTTTGAGACCAGTATATAAACTGGGTGAATGCATGGAATTTAATATAGAGTGTTAGAAAGTTAGGTGTGAAGAACGTTATCACTTCATGAAATTCATGAAATTCTGGCAACTGTTCTGAGCGGTGGACAGTTCTTTCATTCACCGGTGAATAATATAATCGTTCTCTTATGGATCAAACGTTCTTTCTCGTTTCTTTGACATTTGGTATATAATAAAATATACTTATTGACTGAGACTTCGGCAACAGTATGTCTTGTGGACCCTCGATTACCAATGTTTCTCGAGTTTTGCCAGGTCCAAAATGTACATATATACTGTTTTCATATAGGTCCCAGCCAATAAATGTTAATTGTTTTTAGCTATAAAGTATTTGTTTATTCACTGTAGAAGGGGATTTATATATGTGACGGAAATCTCAGTGAATTTCATGTAATTGTTTTGAGCATGGAAAACTTCTGAGAACTTTCTTTAATGACATGGTTATATTAAATGCACATTGACGCGTAAAAATGTAATAAAAGCCGTTGGCTGGGTACATTAATGTAAGAAATAAGGCGGCTCGATACTGATATAATCCCGTAGTGTTACCTCGCAGCATATTAATAATTAATCTATGCTGAGACTTCTAAAGACTAAAGTGGTTTTTTTTTTAATTTTATCTACCGCACAACACAAAATGTGTGTAATATTATTGGAGCGTGTTGACACTTTGTATACAATATACTGTTTCATTGTGATATATAATATCAACTTAAGATAATTAAGCTTTTATGTTTTATAGTTCCACAATTCTGTGATACGAAAGTCATTCACTTGTAAAAACAGGTTGCTTAAAATAACCAATTTGAATTGGTTGTCTACTTGTCTCAGATGCACTTATTTGACCAATATTAATTGATGCTGGTAAAACATTTATTGGGGTTGTGATATAGCAACGACACTTACATGTCAGCACAGCAACAACTAAAATGAAAGGCGAGAAATAGTTATACCTTGACATTTTGATGTCCAATAGAATGATTTGGTAAAACCCACCACCGTAAACGAAATTTTGGTATTACGAACATCTTAATGCATATTTGGACGTCCTATGGCTACATGCCTGGCTTTTTTTGGTTAAAATCGGCCCATCCCCATGCTCCAAACAAAATGTACCGAAAAAATGCTCCATTGAACTAACAAAATTTAGATATTTTCAACGAGTATATATAAAGTGTTTGGAATGGAGACGAGGTTTTTTTACGTGTAAAGTATAGCCTGCATGTCGTATACAGTTACAGGCACGTTTATACGCTGCGAATTGTTGGGTCGATTTTGACGCGTTTTGACGATTCGCGGGTAAGTTCGACAACTCGTCATTCACGTCAAATCTTAGTGTGTGAATAACATATCCGATTCTCATTTACAATTTGATAAAAGTGTCAACTAAGTGTGAGTAAGCTTCAGGTAGTGGCATAAAGGAATGAAATCTATGACATTTAATTAAAGACGTGGCTTTACAACCTTCAAGTTTTACTAGCACGTTTGCTTATCTATCGTATAGTTGTTGTGGATATTTATATTAACTATTAAGCCATTCAGATGTCAAATAATTGACGTTTACCTATACATAACTCAATAACTTGTTTAATAAAGTTGATTCAGTACCGGTTTTGTATTTTCCGGTCGTATATCCGCAATATTATGTTCCTTGACCTTGCACTCTATTCAAAACAGTCTTAAGAACGTTTTTTCACAAGTTTTGATTGGCTGATCTATAAAGTGAGCTAGCGAACAAAATTGATTTTCAATTTCACTTGTTCCGCGTTATGTTGTCTGTTCGTACTGTATATGCTTTTATGCATGCTTGTTTGGTTCAGTATCTTCGCAGACGCAGGAAATTTTCGTACCTTGCAGGAAATTTTGGTCATCTTATACACTGGAATGCCATATAATTTACTTATTTTTTACAGAAGCGTTTTTCAAGTCGAGAAGTTTATCACGATGTACACGGGAAATTTTTATTTTTCGATTTTGCTGCCATGAAGAGAAATATATATATTCTACGCCTGGTTTAGTTTCCGTTTCAAACGACTGTCTTTAAACTGCATGACAGAAGGGAATCACTGGGAATGCCTGAGGAGAAACTGCCAACTGTATCAGGAACACTGATATCCACTCTTACACACGGATGACATTAGAAAAAAATGATTAGAAGTGAATTTTTACCGACCACTCTCATCCGAAATATTCGCTGTTTTTTTTTTATCTACATTTTGAATTGATGCGTGGGATAGCGATTTCAGTAAACTACTGTATAACAAAAACGCCTTTCTACACCACCCCTTGCACTTTCCTAGATTTTTTTCATCTTGAAAAAATCGGGAAAAATCTATAGCTATATGCTACAGTTTTTTAAAACTATTTTTCGAATTGGAATTTGCTGATGCCAACTACAGCTTGGAATGAAATCGGTTACACGATACGATTTATCGTTCATGACTAATCTGCCCGACAAATCGCAGCGTGTAAACGTACCTTTAGATGTTAAGAAGATTTCTTGCCATATTAAGCAACCCTCCATATAGTTGTGGTCTTGTGTTGCAGATTATTCAATGACTTCCCAACACAAGTATTTATAAATTTAACGGACAGTATAAAATAGCTTGGATTTAAAAAAATACAGACTTCCAGCGAGAGGGATACACTTCACAGAAAAGGCCGTTTTAACTTGCGCGTTTCAATTTTTTGTAGTGAAAGAATTTGGAAAAGCGAAATTTATTTAGTTCATTAATAAAAGGAATGCAATTTAGTGTAACATTACACTCTTGTTCTTATTTCACTAATAAAATAATTAAATAATGAATAGGTTTGAAATATCTAATAGTATCCAGTTGCGGACACTAGTGGGAGGGGGGACTGGGGAGCCTCTGAATGCTGTAAAAATAATTTTTCAACCATCAGAGCATTGGTAGACTAAACATTAAGCTATATATTACATCACATTTAAAGGGGAAAAAATTTAAAACTTTCCCGCCACAAAAGGTCGTCATATGATAGCATCCTAATTAGCCCCCCCCCCCTCTCCAAAATAAATATTTCGCCAAGTGTACTACTGATTGAACTTATATTCTTCTATAGACATGGCTGAAGAAGCATTTGCTATCGCACTATATGACTACCATTCACAAAATGACGAGGAACTTTCCATAAGGAAAAATGATAAACTACTTATTGTAAATGACAGTGGGACATGGTGGCAAGTTCAAAATGAACGTCATCAATCCGGTCTCGTACCCTCGAACTATTTGCAACGAACTGACTTAAATAAAGGTAAAAAGAGCATAGTGCAGAAAATATTTTCGAGAAAGGGCAGTAGCGGTGGTCCATCCGATGATGGCCCTGGGTACGCAGCTCCAGATGTTCATGCGACACGCGCTAGCTTTTCGGAGAAAGTAGACGAAGCGATTGCGAAGTATGACTACACACCTGTTAGGGAAGATGAAGTTGCACTCACGAAGGGTGATCGAGTTTATGTGTTGGAAAGGGAAGGTGACGGATGGTGGAGAGGCGAGGCTAATGGGAAATCAGGATGGTTTCCATCCAATTACGTGGAGATAATAAAGGCTGATAGTAAAGCTAGTAACGTTATATGCAAAGTACGGACTTTGTATGCATTCAAGCCAACTAATAACGAGGAGTTACATTTTGAAAAGGACACTCTGTTGGAAATCGTTGATCAGCCAAGAGATGATCCTGAATGGTGGAAAGCCAGAAAGGAGGATGGTACGATCGGACTTGTGCCTAAGAATTATGTCAAGATTCTTGATGGAAATCAAGACGAAAAACGACCAGTTCCCGACAATGCTGGTGCAACGCCAACGCCAGTAGCTGTTGTGGATAATAGTATTCTGAATAAAGAATGGTACCATGGGAATATTTCGCGACAAGATTGCGAACGCAAGCTTAACGCTTCTCGAGATGGTGACTTTCTTGTTCGAGCTAGTGAAACAAAGGTAAGAACTTAAAGCGTGAAATGTTTTACTGTACATGACATCTTTCTTGTGTGGACTGTATATTACATCCCTCTTGTTCCATTACATTGCATTTTCGAATATATACAGGGTGTATCAAAATAAACGCAATTCATCTTTTGTGCTTAATAACTTTCGAAATACTATTTCTAGTTAAACGCTTTTAGGCTTACTTCAAAGCCTGTTCTTTTCTCTTTCAAACAAACTATTATCCTTGTCTCCAATGCTAGTAATAATTGCACAGGAAAAGATTTAGTAAACCTATCATTTTTAGTTGCTGTTTAATTATGCAAGTTTACTATGTTATTGTTTAGTCGGTTTAAATGTTAGAATTTTCTTCTTTAAACTTTAATGTTGTCGTCACTACATCTGGAAAACCACGTAAGAACAAATTAAAAGTATTTTAAAAGAGACCAGGTTGTTTGAAAATCCTAAAGGAATGCTAAAAATCATAGAATCAAAACATTCTAGTGTCTGAGCCAGAGTGTCATCGAATTGCCATGTAATGTAAACAGAAATTATAGCAAGCTGATGTCAGTCAGCTTAGATGGTCCAAGCCAAAATTATATCGCATTTGAAGTTTCAAACTGTGTTAAAAATAGTGGAAGAAAAGCCGTAATTATACTTATTGTTACAATCCATTTAATAAAATGCAACATTTTTTTGTTTTAATGAAAAAATCAGTTATTTTCATGAGAACGATTTGTTATTCCATCTCAATTTTTTTAATCTCCAATCGCAATAACGTAAAGTATTATTACCCGCGAACCAATGAGTCAAATTTAAGAAACAATCCACTGTTAGAAAGCTGAATGGCTACGCTTTAAAATGAATGTAAACTTTAAAGTTTTTGTCTATTATTTGTTTAGCAATTTACATTTCAGTCGAGGATTGCGCTTTTTTTGATACACCCTGTATATATATATATATATATATATATATATATATATATATATATATATATATATATATATATATATATATATACATATATACATATATATATATATATATATATGTATACAACATGGACGCGAATGATGTATACGATTGCGATTCGTCTGTGAAAACATTCGTATTCTTCAATAGACAATAAGCAATAATTATCTTTGGTGAGACAACTGAACGTAAAGTTTATGCCAGCCAGCAGATTTTGTATCAGATCAATATTTAGCTCCTTTATACTCTCGTGACTCTCATTCTGTATTCTTTATGAATTATTAATGACATTAGTTTTAATGATTTTCTGAATAAATATGTGATATGTGACATATCGATTAGAATTTTGGGGGAAGCCAAGAAATTTCGGAGCTCGTTCCTGAAATTCTAGATTTGGTTGAGAGATGAAAGTTGGTGAATCAGACATTTCTTTGTGTTTCTTTTTAGAGTGGCGATTTCTCAGTTTCGATGAAGGCACCAGATCGAATTAAGCACTTCAGGATCAAGGCATTGCCCAATAACGGCTTTGGAATAGGTCAACGGGAATTTTCTTCGTTAGACGAACTTGTTGAGCACTATAAAAAGTTGCCCATATTTACATGTGAGAACGGACAAAAAATGTTTCTATCGCGGCCATACCCTAAGCAGGACTACTTAAGAAATGGAATTCAACGTTAAGAATGTTTGTATCAAGTTAGAATGTTAGCTTTAAAGAGTATATACTTGGTTACTTTGTTTACATGTAAATGTTAGTATATTGCCTTGAGGATTGGGAATGACATCTGCATGAAAGGAGACGCAAAATCAGAGCGCGAAAATGACGCCGTATTGTGTGTGGCGGAAAATACATAAAGTGCCACGAGCATGTGGAGGTACTGTGAATGTAGAGAGTAATCGCAGTGTAAAATATGTATGGTAAAAATGGTGTAACAAATATATTAAGTATAATTTTTGCGCTCTGAAAATAGCGCGTGTAATTTAAGAATTACCGTTGCTTTCCCAGTGCTTCCTGGTATTATTGAAATCAGTAGACCGCGACATGCCCACATTTTGGCATCCCGCGCATTCTGTTTCGAAGTCTTCACGTGATATATCGTATGTACCCATGACCAGCTAGATGTTCAACCGCTCTTGAAAAATATACTGGCCCGCATTCTGTCCAAGTGTATGCCACTATTTTACAAGATCAAGATCACATTGTTGGTAACTGAAGGTAGAGAGTTCTAAAATGACGAAATCTGGGTGGATATTTCAAATTAAACAAATATATTTCATATATTTTGTTGCTTGACCTTCGTTTGGACGTCTGTGACCTTGTTTACGTTTGTATAAAATGACAGTGAGTAACGAATTTCTGGCGTTAAATTCTAAACTACGCACCTGACTGGACAATAAAATTAGAAGCCCATTTAATTAGTTTACCTGTCAAACTGAAACTTGCAGTTTTTCACACCCTGGCTGAACAAATTGTGTTCACGAGGTCCAGAAATATTTAATTACGAGGTACGTTTGAATACATCACGTGGTGTCTCTTACCTTATCGTGCGGCCAGCAAAAAAAAGTGGAGGTGTCGCGGTCTACTGATTTCAATAATATTTAAGACAACATGTGGAGACTAAGTGGAGTTTAGTTGTTGAATGACTTGTGTTCCTTCATTCCCTGCGGGAGGGGCTAATTAGAGGCAGGGACTAAATAAATATTAACGTTCTTTATGCATAACAGTACTTAGATGCTTTATACTTAAAAGACTAAAAATACTTAGAGAATGGTCTGTGATGGGGGCTAAAAAGACAAAACACGGTATCCGCATGCAAAATTCAACGTGTGAAACAGTTAAAGTTCGAAATTATTTCATTACGATGGACCGTGATATTAAATTCTAACCTAATGCAAGCTTAGGTTCCACAAAAATTGCGCGCCGTGGTTTCAAACATACCATTTTACGTGTGCAGGATTTAATTCTGATTGGGAAAATCACCCAGGAACAACGGAAATTTGTAGTGGTTATATGTGCCTCTACTTTGACACGCATGCACAAAATTTCATGCATGTTTGAAACCAGCATCGAGTTACGTTTGAATTTGAAGGGAATTACACTTCTTGTTTGACTGGTTTCTGACAAACGTGTGAAATAAGTGAAGTATTTTTGAAAGGTATTGGCTGAAGGGGACGGACGAGAGGGAGATTTTCAAGATAGTTCAAAATTTAAATTCTGAGTTCGCTTTAGTTTAGAGTTAGGATTGGCGTTAGGTTCAGCTGCATGGGGGCAAGGTTTAAGATTGCTACAAGTGCCTGGTTGCAGCCGATTCTAGGCTCCTCCGCAGGCCTCTCTTTGGGTTTTAGCCTGCGAATGGGTTTTGAAAAAAAATTTCACCAAACTTTTTCCCACCAGAGGAGGCTAAGTCTGCGGAGGAGGCTAAGCCGATTCTTTCACTAACGATCTTGAAAAATGGCCGCCATCTTGAAAACTTCTTCTCGTTTAGCCTGCGTGCAGGCCCAAGGGAACTGATAGTGGGCCTGCAACCATCGCCCGGTATTTTGTAAAACGCCCCTTTTCATAACACGCCCCATTCGCGCGTCAATTGTCAAAAAAGAACCAATGACAGCACCCAAATATTAACAAACAAACTCGCATTAAAATTTGCGGGGTTTTCTCTGCTTATTCAGAACACTAATAAACAATGTGTAAATGGCTGCGTTTTAACTCCAAAAAAGCAAGCAACGCAGTCAGTAATTGCCAAATTAGCAAGTGCTCATTTTCAACTAAAATCGGAACAGGCAAATTAGGACGAATTTCAACAGAAAACCAGTCTCAAACTTCAAATCATGAGGGAAGTCGTGCGACCACATTAGGATTTATATTATGTGTGCTTCGTTGTCGCCATTGGCATTGTTATAAATAAATTGTCTCACTTATCAGATCGTGTGTGCAATTCTTGTTGGCGGCGGAAAGTACGAAATTTATTTCATTTGGTAAAGAACTCTACAAAAGAAGAGAGCGTTCCGAGTCCAGATCGTTTCGTTTCAAACGGCAATTTAATACCGCCTTCTGTTTCGCTCTCTCAGCGATGCCTTGTAAATCGCAAAGTGTTTCGAATAGGCTTACAGTCCTTACATGCAACTGCATCTCAACATCAACCAAAAGATAATTTTCTTGAGGAAGTGAGAATACATAACGTATCAACTGAAGTCTGTTTGAAATTAATGAAACTCAAGTAAAGGTTACTATAGTTTACCCCAGTCGTAATTTGCTATTCCAACACCTCACGACAAGCAATCCCCATTGGCATAACGGCAAAAACATGTCTTCCTTCAAGTAAACAATAAACAGTCTGTTCTTGTTCCATTTGTAATCGAAAATAGTGATCAATTTTCAAATTTTAAGCTTATCGAGAGCCTTTGTCTATGCCTTTGTGATGAATCACTGTTCCCTTGGGCCTGCACGCTAGGTTAATTAATTACCGATCGCCTAAGCTAGCCAATGGGAATTTAGCCGGCGGTTCGGCCGGCGAAAATCGAAAACATGGGGTGATGGTTGCAGGCCCACTATCAGTTGATCCAGTTCCCTTGGGCCTGCACGCAGGCTACGTCTCGTTTACCAACGATTTTTCTTGAAACTCATCTATTCAATATGCATTCTCCGCCTGAACATGTGCGGGTTGAGCGGATGTTTACAAAAACACTTTCGTGAATAAACCAAGACAACTGACAAAAAAACCCAACTTGAATTAACTGCCTTTTAGGTAGATCTGGCGCGACAGGTATAAATGGCAGTATTCCCACGTGTTTCCTTTACTACGTCATTTAATTGATTGGAAGTAAAACAATTTTTTCTTTACATGATTGGTTTTACTATGATTGCACATATAATGATATATGCTTTAATTTTTTTTAAATATTTTTTTCCAAATTAAAAAAAGATCGACTTCGATAATCAGAAATATGTTATTCACTGGCTGGGAGGTCCATACTGAGGTCTCTGAAGCGCCCCGGGACCGAAGGTCGAGGGACACTTCTGAGACCGAGGGAAAATATTTTTCAAGTATACTTATCGACCTCAACGGTAAGTAACCATAGATATGAGATATCTATGTAAATAGCATACTCGATGCTTAATTAAATTCCCCAAAACTCCAGTGTTTGCGAACTAGATTTGAGATCAGTGGTGTTTGTTACTTTAGTCCTTGCATTGGCTGACATATTGATATTGCTAAGGGAAGCCTCACATTTTGATTTGTCAAATATCACAAGCATTAATAATAATAATAATCATAATAAACTTTATTTTGATGAGTGAGGATAAATATACATTTTTACCTGAAAAGGTATTCCACCAAATGGCCCTCAATAAAATTTAGATGAGCTATTTACAATATATACAAAGAAGCTAAACTAGAGTTATTAATAGACACAGCACATGGGACTATAGTACCAAATACAGAAATAACTATATTATTAAGCATACATAACGTTTTTATTTTATTTTTGACAATATGAGCTAATAAAAAATAAGGGGAAATTCAGTGCGAGTAACAAATGCACTTAACTAGGTTTTTGCAAGAAAGACAGGAAAATTGTTCAAGATGGTCAACCTCATAATTAAGATTAGAGAAAAACCTCCTAAGTTTATGTTTATATGCAGAAGGGGGAGTAATCATTAAACACTTTCAGGTCATTTGGTAAAGATTGGAAAAGTAAAACTCCACTATATATGAGAGTTTGGTCTTGGAAAGATTAGATTTGACAGATGGTATTTTGAGATCAGTAACAGAGGATGGAGTATGTACATCGTGCAATGCCCCTGAGAAACAAAACAACTCGCGCAGATCACTTGGAGATGAGCTACGCAAGGTGTTTACGACGAGTAAAATTTTTCGCATTTTAATTAAGTTGTAGATGGGAATCCATTCCAGTTTGCGGAACAGATCAACAGAAGGAGTTGACATACTCTAGTCCAAAGCCAATCTGGCTGCTCTTTTTTGATGTTTAAGCATAGGGTTGATAAGCTCATGGCTTGCATTGCCCCAAATATGGTGATGCCATAAGGTAAATGGCGATAGATAAAAGTATGCTAAAACTTAATTCTACATTTCAGTGGCAGGGCTGGGCAAATACGCTTAAACAGATAAAGCCTGGAATTAAGATATTTGTATATCTTATACATTTGGTTATCCCAGGAGAGATTTTTATCGAGTAAAATACCTAGAAGTTTACCAGAAGTAATTTCTTCAATCCAAAAATCCTCATGAGGCATGTTATCATGCCGGCAAGCAGTGAATACTTAAGCTTTGATTAAATTTTCATGAATTTGGTTTTGCTAAAATTTAAAGCCATTTATGGTTGCTTCTTGCCCAATTAGAGGTAATACACAAATCAGTCGACAAGGAAGCTTTGAAATCAGGTAGCTCACAGTCATGGGTTAAAAGGGTCGAGTCATCCGCGAAAAGAGAAGGATGTGAAGTGGTGAGAAAAGATAGATCGTTGATAAATATTAATAATAGTAACGGGCCAAGAATGGAACCTTGAGGGATCCCAGTAATGATTGTTAAAGGTTCTGAAAGAACGTCGTTAATTTGTGCCTGTTGTGTTCGTCCTTCAAGATACGACGCGAACCATTTTAGAGTTAGGTCGGTAGTTTCGTATGCATGGATTTTCTGGAGCAAAATAGTATGATCGACCAAATCGAAGGCTTTGGAAAAGTCAAGTATCAAAACACCGTTAATTTCTCCATTATCGATATTATTAACAGGGTATTCGTAAATCATGTCACGTTTCACACGAATGGCCAGGTCTGAACCCATGCATGTTGGTGATCGGATAGAATTTCATGCTCATAAAAATACGAATTAAACACATGCCTTTCAAGAATTTATGAGAGAATAACCAGGATCGAAATTGGTCTAAAGTTGCCCCTTTCACTCATTTCGCCAGATTTGTGTATCGGAGTTAATTGGTGGTAACAGTATTGGAAATCATGTTAGCAGGGAACTTTAGGAAGTGGGCGGGAAGACCATAAATTCCCGTTGCTTTAGAGGAGTTCAATTGTTTCAGGGAATCAGAAACTTCGTCAATTGTAATAGGGGGGATACTAAATTTAGTTTGCCTAACAGATAATGAGAAGGCTGACAGACTGTAATCAACAGCCTCATTCGGCCTCGTTCATATCAAATTTGTCTTGAATGTTGGTAAAATATTCGTTAATTAAAGAGATTACTGACAGTTGCAAGGTTGACATATTTCACATTATCTTAAAATAGCCAGGAAGAGTGTGAATGATGCTCACAATACTGATTGGTCTCAATATAAGACTTGGCGTAATACTATACCATCACAACGGCGTTGACAACCATGTTAACTTGGGCTTAGCAACTGTTAAGTTCTGTTTAAAAATTCT